CTATCTATCTATCTATCTATCTATCTATCTATCTATCCATCCATCCATCCATCCATCCATCCATCCATCCATCCATCCATCCATCCATCCATCCATCCATCCATCCATCCATCCATCCATTATTATTATTTATTACAGTACGTATTATTATTTTTTGTAATCTCTAGTTCTTTTTATTATGTTTGTCAGTTTAGGTTATTTCAGTCATCTTCGTGGGTTTTTCCTTCTTTAAAAAGGAAAAGTTTTCTTCATCTGCCCTCACTGCTGCACCTTATTGCCTCAAAGTTTGTTTGTTGTTTTGCTCTGGTTGTTCTGATGGAATCATGCATGTGATGAATGTGGTTGTAACTAAAAGGTCTTCTCAGAGTTATTAATCTGAAGAGGTTGTCTCATCCATGTTTTGAAGACAGTACAGATGAAGATGATGAGAATAGAGCAGCAAAAGTCTGCATGATTTGTTCGTTTTAATTACCAACAATTTTGATGAACATTGAATGTGTTCTTATTTTAGGAGAAAGGTTTACATTAAAAAGCATCACACCAGCGAGTGATGGCTGTGTAAGGACAAAAAAAAAGAACACTTGTCATTCCTTTTCTTGTTTCAAACTCTTTATATTGGCTCTAAACATGAAACATGAACATTTGTATCATTTTAAGTTCACTATTTTTGTAAGAACCAGATGAAAGAAAGCTTTACTGTGGCTCAGAGTTCACCCTCATTGACAGTTTATCACCGTGACACGTTGTGGCGACTGTTACACAACCCATCCTCAGCTGTTAAACGCACCCTCTGACAAATGAAACTTGTTTACTGCAGTTGTTTTACTTTTATAACAGTTACCTGTCAAATGTGCCTGTTGGAGTTGCCTTTTATGTCCTGAATTTTATTTATCTTGGAGGGATAGCCTGCTAGCTTATAAGAAAGCTCTCCATAAAGCTAGAACTCTATATTCATCTTTAATTGACGTGAATAAAAATAACCCCAAGTTCCTTTTCAGTACCATAATTAGTCTAATGAAAAGGCCTATCTCTGTTGAACCATGTATCCCTACAGTTATAAGCAGTGATTACTTCATGAGATTCTTTATAAATAAAATTATTTTAATTAGGGGAAAAAAATTCAAACCCACCTTCCTACTAGCAACTCTGGTTCCCTGTCAGATGAGGCAACTTTAAAAATGTCACTAGAACATGATTTATGTTGGACTATGGGAGGCTGTGGCTGAGTGGTTAGCGTAGTCGTCCTCCAATACAAGAGTTGGGGGTTCGAATCCACCAGCAGTCACATGCCGAAGTGTCCCTGGGCAAGACACTGAACCCCTTATTGCCTCCGATGTGTGTCCCATCGGTGTATGACTGTGATCTCAAAGCACTGATTAGTCTCTTTAGAATGATTTGTTCAATTAGCTTTGTAGATATCTAGTAAAGTGCTGTATTAATGGGTAAATGAGGACACAGATTGTAGTGTAAAGCGCGTTGAGTATCTGGATAAGATAGAAAGGCGCTATATAAATGCAATCCATTTGCAGTCCATTTACTATTTTGTCCTGTTGAGCTCTCTGAATTGTCAAAAATAATAGCTTCATCCAAGCCATCCATATGCCTGCTAGATCCCATCCCAACCAGACTGTTTAAAGAGGTATTTCCCATAATTAATATCCGTATTTTGGATCTGCTTAATTTGTCTTTAATGAATGGTTATGTACCACAGCACTTTAAGATTGCTGTAATTAAATCTTTACTTAAGAAACATAATCTTGACTCAGGAATCCTGACCAATTATAGACCTATATCTAATCTAATAGTCATCTCAAAAATTCTAGAGAAAATAGTTGCTGGTCAGTTGCATGAACATCTACAAAGAAATAATCTGTTTGAAGAGTTTCAATCAGGGTTTAGAGCTCATCATAGCACAGAATCAACACTAGTAAAAGTCACTAATGATATTCTCATGGCCTCAGACAATGGACAGGTGTCTACACTGGTCCTGTTAGACCTCAGTGCTGCATTTGATGGTTGATCACAATATCCTACATGTCACATCATCAGTTCAGCTACAATGTGCACTCCCAAGACATTACCTGCAGCGTCCCCTCAGTGTGGACTGAATTTGGTAAAAAGGACCTTCTCTTACTCTGCTCTTGTAATCTGGAACGTCTTGCAAAAACACACACACACACACACACACAAACACACACACACACACACACACACATACATATATACAGTCTAGAGTGAGAATGAGAAAGTAGCTGTAGGCTAAAAGTGCCTCCTACCGCACTGGAGGGAGTTATGAGGATTCAACTGATCTCCTGGTTCGAAACTAGAGTTAGCTCGCCATCCTCAGCAATAGACATGAAAACAGGGACCTGGCCTGTGTGAAACAGACCTAATAATCAATAACCCTGGGTTTTATCAATATCAAAAACCATCATAAATATAAGCAATACATGTACATATTTTATCATCATTACTATAGTAATATAAGTTCATAATATAAATAGAATCAAGTTTATTATTTGAGTCCTCTTAAATCTTCCTAATATTAAAGCCCCTAATGTTGCACTAGTCCTTAGCACAAAACATAGCAATAGCATTTCACCATTTCAGTGTAGCTTCAATTTATGTAAATGCTTGGATGTTAACACTAGGAGCTAGTTACTTATTGCAAGAGGCTTTTTTTTTCATTATCGAGATCAATACAAATGCAGGCATTCAGAAATAGCAGAACAATACTATCAGTGACATTTAGTATAGAAAAATATTGTTTGATAATAATTTTTCTTATAAGCACATTCAAATAAATGTAGCAATATTATAGCACTGATTTAGCGCAGAGCCTAATACAGTAACCTGGAGTCTATCGGTAGCATGCTTGCTCCATGAATACACAAACAAATGCACCAGTTCCCACTTTTAGAATACACAGTCAGCTGAAGGTTTTGTCACAAACATAGATGTCTAATAGTTGAGAGGCATATCAGTCAAAAGTGGCAACATAGGCATTAGATAAAGGGCTTTCAATGGCTTAAAGCCTACCTGCAACATAGCCTGGTTGTGAGTGTCACTGCACAATCTGTTCCAGAACCAAAAACAAAAAAGAAAGAAATCTGTTCTGGGATCGGAAGCACGTTCTGTACCGTGTGCTGTACTCTGTACTGGGCACAGGAGAGTTGCGCCCAGAATGGTCCTATATCTTGTAATGAAGAGGAATTACTGCGCATGTACAACTTTTAACGAGAGTCAATGGGTAAAGATTCTTGCTCCCCCAGGGTGGAAATATGTCATCAATCGGCGACAACGTTTTTGAAAGAAACAACTTTACTCATCATTAACTAAAATATTTATCTTACACAACTAAAATAATATATACATATATTTTGAAATATTTTTATGTCTTTAAAGTAATATATGAGTAGTGTGAATCATGGGTTGGCACCCTAGCGCCCTCTATTGGCCAGCCACCACTTGGATTTATGAGTAAAACTTGAAAAATGCCCAGTGACTGAGAGTTACCTAAACACAACTGGGTTTACAAAGGTTAAACTAAAGCCATGACATGGACCATCAGCTGTGGAGCATCATGAATGGTAAACGGCTGATTCACCAGCTGTGTGTGTTGTGGTGTGGTCTGAGCATGTGTACACATTCTTACAAGGATGCACATGTAGCTGAGTTGCTTATTCACACCAGAGTGACGCACTTGGTTAAGAAGTCAATTTAAAGCTGCACACACAGTGTAGGAAAACACACACATACACACACATACACACACACACACACACACACACACACACACACAGGACAGTGAGGGATTATACCTGTGAGTACAGTTTGTAGCTGGTGGCTAATACCTTCTAAAAGAGATCTGCAGCTTACTGCTGCAGACAGCTCTGTGGGAGAGATCATCATAACGGCTACAAGAACTCAGATGTTCTGAGAGTAGGCTGAGGAGAATATGAGCATCTTGTTGAACGTCTGCCTGAAAAGATTAAACGTTTGTTTTTGTGGGGGGTTAAAATTTGAAGTATATCAGACTTTGGGAAGTGCCTCAAGGAAATAAAACTCAATATGTTGAAAGGTTTTTGGACTTGGACAGTAAAATGGTGAGAAATGTCACCTTTTCTTGCTGTTATGTGGACACTGTGGGAGTTTCACATATCCTCATGTGTTCTGCAGGTTTCAGCCACAGAAGAATGTTTGGGGCCAATGAAACTGACCAAGGAGTCGATCCAGGTAGGACTATTTAATAATGCTATGCATTTATGTTGTTTAAAACATATTTAAAGATCCTGAAAGTTTGAATCTGTTGGTGGAGAACAAATAATTAAGTCAGTTTTGTTGTGGTTAAGCTTCATGAATCATTTTAGTTTTGTTCTTTGTTTTTGCTAAAATATATACTTTGTTTGTCCACATGATGCCTTTTCACTATGTTGTTTGCACCTAATACATAGTTACTGTAGGTATGCCCCATACAGGATGGTTAGGCAGTATTTTTCTCCTAATTCCTCCTTTTTTGCATCTATTTCTTCATAAAGTTCTCAACACTTGTATGGTCTTTTGGGGAGAAAAAAAATCAGACACACGTTTATTTTTGTTAGTGGTTTTATTTAATATGTTTTGATGGAGTCAATAAACATGTTTTTTTTCTGACAAAGTAAAAATCTTTACTTTTTAAAGATTTTTATCAGAATTTTGTCAAATGCCCTCATAACCTCACAGCAACTTTATTAGACTATCGTGTTCCTGAAGGGAAAAATCATCATCCCTTTTCTTTTTACCTCTACTTTAGATTTTTATTTTTTCATTCATTCAACTTTTATTTATCCAGGTTAGTCCCATTGAGCCACGAGGACTTATTTATTTACAAGAGAGATCTGTTTTAAACAAAGAACACAGATGAGGTTCAGACAACAATAGGTAATCAAATAAAAACCGTATAAAATGAAAAGTAAATAGAAGAAATTATATTATTAAAAAATGAATTCAAAGCAGAAACATTATAAAGCGATGTAAAATACTAAAAGCATGAACATGTCTGCGTTGGTTTTTTTGTCATGAACTTAGCAGTTGTTTAAAACCCTTAGAAAGGTCGAGAGATTCAGATCTTTTTGAAAAGATATTCCAAGTTACAGGAGTGGAGTAGGAGAAGGCCCCTTTGCCTAATTTGGTCCGCACTGAGGGAATGCATGTACTGAGAGCGCACATTGTAGCTTAACAGTTAAACTGAACAGTTGTTTAAAATCCCTTAGAGTGGTCATAGTCAACAACCTCAGATCTTTTAGCAAGATAATCCAGGTTACAGGAGTGGAGTAAGAGAAGGCGCTTTTGCCAAGTTCGGTCTGCATTGAGGGAACACTGCGGGTAATAATGTCTTGAGAGTGCGCACTGTAACTGCAGTGACAAAGTGACATGTAGGAGGAGATGTATGAAGGCAGCAGACCAAGAAATGTTTTAAAGATGGAAATGTACCAGTGAGAGAGTCTGTGTGAAGTTAATGATGACTAATTGACCAATGTATTGACCAGCGTATATTTTTAATGTTTTGCATATATCTTAGATCTTTTAGCATACCATTTGGCATTCATTTAGCATATATCTTAACGTATATCTTAGATCCTTATATACTGTTTCTTTTTACACTGTAAATCTTTGCTATTGTTGGGCGTAACTAGGACCCTGAGTACATAATTTTGTTCCACCTCATATACCACATGTGATGTGAATGACAATAAACTTTACTTGAACTTGATGAATACAGAGTGCAGTGATGGGTACGATAGTCACAACCAGTTTTGAATCTTAGCACACCGTGATAGACAGCATCCAGCATTTGCATGGTGCTTGTTGGTAACATTCATGTTAATAATATCACTGTAATCAATGGAGGGGAGGAAAGTCGCATTTACATGGCATTTCCTAGCATTCAGAGTTAAACAGGATCTATTTCTGAAGAAAAAAAAACAGTTTAACTTTCAATTTCTTTACCAAGTTTTCGACACGAGACTTAAAAGAGAGATGCAAATTGACCAAGATACCCCAGTATTTTTAGGAATCAACAAACTCAGTAGGAACACCATTCGTAGATAAGATTGAAGGAAGAACTGCTGGCACTGACTTCCTGTTTGAAAACAACATCATTTTGGTTTTTATCAGCATTTAGCACCAGTTTGAGACAAAACAAATCTGACTGGATCATGTCGAAAGCAGACTGTAAAAGCTGGAAAACCTTAGCAACTGTTTTTTCTCGACAATAAACAACTGTGTCATTGGCATAGAAATGTAAGGATGCATCAAGGATGCTCTAACCTACAGTACTTATGTAGATTGTGAAGAGGGTGGGTCCTAAGACTGGGCCTTGTGGTACACCATTGTTGACAGTTAAGATAGCTGGAAGAAGTACCATTATGTTGAACACATTGCCTCTGATCTGAAAGATAGTTAGAGAACCAACCAATGGTATGATCTTAGAAACCAATGTCTGAGAACTTATGACATAAGATGTCATGGTCCACAGTATCAAACGCTTTAGACAGGTCTAAATAAAGTGTGGCACAATAATCCATCCAATGCTTCAACAACATCATTACAAACCTTCAACGACACTGTCGTGCTGTGTTGTTTCCAGAAACCAGATTTGTGGGAAGATAAGATGTTAAACGAATCCAAATACTTTTTGACTTGAGTATTTATCAATTTTTCTGAAACCTTAGCAAGAATACAATAAATGGTGCTCCACTTTTACATTTGAGAGCCTCTGAAATAATTTACAGAGGCAGAGGTCAACTCACCCTAGAAGCAGAACCTTCCTTCAGCTGAACAACGTTCCACAGCTAACTGCTGTTTTGCCCAAATCAGGATGTCATTAGCAGGTGCACCGTGCTCCTGCAGCTTGCTGGGACATCCAGGTCAGTAAAAACAAAAATAAAATAAAAAAGATATACTGTATATATATATATATATGCGGGCAGCACGGTGGCGCAACTCGTAGAGCTGCTGCCTCTCAGCGAGAAGGTCCTTGGTTCAAACCCCGGTCCAGGGGCCTTTCTGGGTGGAGTTTGCATGTTCTCTCCGTGCATGCGTGGGTTTTCTCCGGGTACTCCGGTTTCCTCCCACAGTCCAAAAACATGCATGTTAGACTGATTGGTAACTCTAAATTGTCCCTAGGTTTGAGTGAGAGAGTGAATGGTTGTTTGTCTCTATGTGTCCCTGTGATGGACTTGCGACCCGTCCAGGGTGTACCCCGCCCCTCGCACAGTGATTGCTGGACATGGGCACCAGCGACCCCCGTGACCCAAAATGGAATAAGCGGGTAAAGAAAATGGATGGAT